GAGTGCAAATTCTCACCTTCGTTAACATTAACAAGGCGTATATAAACACACTGTATAATGTATCATTATTCGCCCCCTCTCTCTCCCCCCATCCCCCCACCACACACACCCAACCAAACAAACACACTCAACATGCAAAGACAGACAGACACAGACACAGACACAAACCCTCTCGTTCCTCTCATTTGAGATTTCAGTGAAAACAGGTGCTAAGCTCAATCGTAAACATAAAGGAAGCCTCGTCACGATGTAAATGAAGACTGTGAAGAGACAGATGCAACGTCCTTTACTCAGACAGAATGGTGAGCTGAAAGGGACCATTTCTGCGATGCTCTTACGTATGAGCTTAGTTGGGGCGGTATTCGTGTGGATGTGGGTGAGAGACAAGGAGGGAGGGAGGGAGGAGAGGGAGGAGGGAGGGAGGGAGGGAGGAGGGAGGGAGGGAGGGAGGGAGGGGAGGGAGGGAGGAGGGAAGGAGGGAGGGAGGAGAGGGAGGGAGGGGAGGGAGAGGAGGGAGGAGGGAGGGGGAGGGAGGGAGGGAGGAGGAGGGAGGGAGAGAGAGAGAGAGAGAGAGAGAGAGAGAATTGTGTGTTGTGTATATATACAGTGTATATGTGTGTGTGTGTGTGAAAGAGAGAGAAAAATTGTGTGGTGTGTATATATACAGTGTGTGTGTGTGTATGTAGAGAGAGAGAGAGAGAGAGAGAGAGAGAGAGAGAGAGAGAGAGAGAGAGAGAGAGAGAGAGAGAGAGAGAGAGAGAGAGAGAGAGAGAGGAAGGAGATCCTGAATGATTCAACGCTGGAATTACCGTATTCTAGGGAACGGCCCATCAAATTATCATAGATTATCAACGTCCTATTTACAGGAAAACCATAACAGGATAAACCTTATTTCTTCGCATAGCCATAGACTCTTATCAATAAAATTTCTGTCAACATACACTCAATACAGTAGTAAAACATAACCACGCCCCCATATCTTCAAATAAACCCAAGAAATGTAGTTAATATAAAAATGTTTTGTCAGTCACAAACGGAAATGCTTTGTCAATCGTCAATCTCAAACAGACACACTAACCTGCAGGACAAAAATTAATAGAGAGTTCTACTACAGAAGGCACAGTGAAGGTCATTTTCTTAGGGACAAATTACTCCATAAACGACGTCACTGTTGACATTTTCCTGTTAGGGAACGATCTAAAATGAGCCTTAAGGATGACGAAATTTTCCCTATTTAAAGCTTCTAGGAATTTCTCTCATGTAGAATTGCTTTATGTATTTGATAAGGTTGATATTGATTGCTTTATCAACTTGATTGCTAAATGCTACAATTATGTTCATCAGAAAGAACACTCGAATATCATTTACGACTCTTGCAATTTTCTTCAGAACCACATTAGGGCAGCTCTCTACATCAGGTCATAAGGGCGAGTATCCTCTGGCGAGTAAGATGTTATGGCAAACGTCTCTCTTTTTTAATATCCTTGTGATTTCCTTCGCAGATGTTCTACTTATCAGAGAGAAGGTTTACGATTCTGAGGACGATAAAAGGCGAGGAGAGGGGGAAGGTTATTCTGGAGGGAATAAAAGGATATACGTTGACGGGCAGAATGAGAGACATACGGACATGCTGCACACACACACACACACACACACACACACACACACACACACACACATACACACACACCCATTTTTGCTATTGATATGTATCTATATATACAACATTATATATATATATATATATATATATATATATATATATATATATATATATATATATATATATAATATATATATATATATATGTTTGTGTGTGTGTGTGTGTGCGTATGTATATATTCACTTAAACTCGAGTTATATATATCACATGGTATGTCTGTGTCTACTGCTTTCAATCTACAATCACCATTTCATCTGAATAACCATCCATGAATCCATATTTATAAACGAGCTTCTCTGCCCCTTTACTTATTTATATTTATAAAGTGATGCCCAATGAAGGTTTCTGCTTGGGCTGAATTAGTGAAATGTGGCGGGATTATACCGTAGAGTTTTATAAATCACGGCCCCTGTGAGCAAAATTAATGAGGCTTCTGAAACATTACCGTAATTTACGTAAATGTATGTATAATACTTGCGTGGCCTGAAGAAAATTGTTTTGCATCCTTTTACATGCCGTGTACAAAGAAATGCAGTCTATGAAAAACATTAGTTATTTATTTTTTTTTAAAGATTTACGGATATAACAAATTTCTAAGTCATGTGAAAGATACTGTCAAATATTGAAACTCTAATACATTCCAGAGCATAATATTTCAGATTTCTCCCATATATATCCAGCTTTCAATCTTAATTAATAAACACCCATTCATTGAAATACGACAACAAAAACACAAACGAACCTAATACGGAATAAAACAACAGAACCTTACATCTCATATATCACACTAACACATCCACACAGCAAAAAAAAAAAAAAAGAAAAAGAAAAATATCCCATCACATATATTACACTAACACACATCCACACACCCCCCCAAAAAAAAAAAAAAAAAAGGAAAAATAGACCCCCCCATCGCATATATTACACTAACACACATCCACACCCCCCCCCCCCAAAAAAAAAGGAAAATAGACCCCCCCGAGTAACCGAGTCTCGTGCGATCTGACAGAGTGATACGTCTTCATCGGATCAGAATAGGTTGATAGAGACACGACGCGGTTAGAGGTGATTTCATTGCTCGACGGAGGGTCAGGAGGATGCTGTTTTCTCTTGATATGAAAGAGTCACTTCATCTCTATTGTCATTCAGTTTATCTATGGGTATACAATTATATATGTGTATATATATATATATATATATATATATATATATATATATATATATATATATATATATATATATATATATAGAAAGAGATAAAAAAGAGAGAAAAAGAGAAAAGAGAAACAGAGAGAGAGAGAGAGAGAGAGAGAGAGAGAGAGAGAGAGAGAGAGAGAGAGAGAGAGAGAGAGAGAGAGAGAGAGAGAGAGAGAGAGAGAGAGAGAGAGAGAGAGAGAGAGAGAGAGAGAGAGAGAAAGAGAGAGAGAGAGAGAGAGAGAGAGGGTGGTGGGAGGTCAGACTATATATCCAGAACACTTCCAGATATTAGAGAGCATAAAATTCGACACTGCAGACTGAAGATGCTATGATTTCACACTATATATTCTTAAAATGAAATCTCACTTAATTACATGAAATTGCACACATTTTTTCCCTATTTATATGTGAAGCATTCATACGAATCCTTGGTTTGGAAATTCTTTTTGGTTTCTCTCTTTCTATGTATCTATCTACCTATCCATCTCTCTCTCTCTCTCTTTCTATCTATCCATCTCTCTCTCTCTCTCTTTCTCACTCTCTCTCTATCCATCTATCTCTCTCCCTCCCTCCTTCTTTCTCTCTCTCTCCCCTTCCCCCCCTCTCTCTATGTATCTATCCACCTATCTCTCTCCCTCTCTCGCTCTCTCTTTCTCCCTCTCCTCCTCTCCATCTCTATCTACCTCCCATTTCCACATTTCCTGACACCCTTCTCCTTCCCACAGTGAGCATGCGAAACAGACGCTCCTGGACGCGTATTTCCTTCAAGACTCACCGCGAGAAACACAGGTTCAACACAGTAGGTAAGTGAAGTCTTAATAGTTTGTTATTTCTTGTTGGTATTCATGAGTTTATATGGATATAGTGCATAACACTACCCTTATACACACACACACACAACACACATACGCGAGCACACATTCACACGCATATAGAAAAAGACACACTCACATAGGAGCGTTTATACACACATATACAAACAGAAACACACACACACACACGCACGAGCGCTCATACACACGGATATACAAACACACACACACACGAATGCTCATACACACGTTTATCCAAACAGACACACACACACGAGCGCTCATACACACACATATCAAACAGACACACACACACACGAGTGCTCATACACACACATATCCAAACAGACACACATACACGAGCGCTCATACACACGCTTATCCAAACCAGATACACAAGCTCGCGCAAGATGTGCCATCAGTTTCCCCTAGTAAAAAAAAAAAAAAAAAAAAAAAAAAAAAAAAAAAAAAAAAAAAAAAAAATAATAATAATCCAATATTCTTCCTTTATGATTAATTAACTAGGTATCAAAAACTTTATGATTTGTCGAGAACGCAGACAGGGTGTCACTCGGGTTTCGAAATATTGATAAAAAGATAATAATCATAGTTATATCTAAAATAGAATTCTCACAATAAGACATACTAATAGTAATAACAACAATATATTTGATTTCATCATGATAATAATAATGACAATGGTAAAAAAATGATGATAACAATAAGAAAATAATGATAACAATTATAGCACAAATAATGACAATGGTAAAAAAATGATGATAACAATAAGAAAATATTGTGATTATGATCATGAAAACTACAAAAGAAGTCACAATAATGACAATAATAGTCATGATAAATACAGAATTAACAAAATACAAAAGAAACAAGAAACCAACCTATTCACACACACACACAATCTCACAGCACCCCCCCTACACACACACTCGCACAATGCACCCCCCCCCCCACACACGCACACACAAAACCCACACACACACACACACTCACCCCCCCCCCCACACACACACACACAACACCCACACACACACACTCACACAGCACAACCCCACACACACAACCCACACAACAGAACCCACACACACACACTCACCCACCCACACACACAACCCCCAACACAACACCAACACCCCCTTCCACACCACACACACACACCCCAACGTTCCAAAACTCATCTCTTTCCCCCTCCCCCCTCCCCCCCTCCTCCCCCCCTCTTTTTTTTTAAAGCCTGGACGCCTGACCCGAGCATCTTACTCGGCGAATACGAAGAAGAACTGCCACAGAGAGACACCAACGCCTACTTCATGACTGACAACAACACTGTGATCACCGTCCAAGTTGGTGCCACGGCGGCTATGCGGTGCCAGGTGTTCGACGTTGCTGACCACGAAACGGTATGTGGAGTCGGTTTGTGGGTGTGGGTTGTTATGGTGTCTTCTGGGTTGTCATCATCTTTGTTGTTGTTTTTATTATTGTTGTTATTATCATTATTGTTGTTTTCATCATTGTTATTATTATTGTTATTATTATTATTATTATTATTATTATTATTATTATTATTATTATTATTATTATTATTATTATTATTATTATTATTATTATTATTATTATTATTATTATTATCATTATTATTATTATCATTATAATTGTTACTGTTGTTGCGGTCATTATCCTGGTTATTGTTATAATCATTGTTATGAGAATGACATTTTTATCATCATGACTATCGTATATCATTATAATTTTTATCATTATTGCTATCACCAGTAGTAGTAGAATTAGTAGTAATATAATTATGATGATAATGATAATAATAATAGTAGTAGTAGTAATAATAATAATAACAATAATAATGATAATAATAATGATAATAATGATAATAATTTTGATAGTAATAAAATGATAACGATAATGATAATGATATTAATAATATGAATGATAAGAATTATAAAAAATGATGAAAATAATAATTAAAAAACAATAATAGTAATAATATCATTACTCTCATTACTATCATTTATCGTTATTCTTATTACTATTGTTATTATCATCATTATCATTATCATTGTCATTATAATAATGATAACTATAATAATGATAAATAACAATAAGATAATAATATAATGATATATCATTATTATCATATATTAATATAATCTTAATCATTGTATTTTTATCAATATCATTATCTCATTATCATTTTCTTTTTCTATCATTATCATTATCATCATGATATATATATAATTATGTTGAGCATCATCACTATTATATCACATTATGATAATTCTTATGCTCTATAAAAATTCTTATGATGTATAATTTTTTTTGTTTATCTATTCAAACATGTATTTATTTATTTATTTTTGTTTTTATCGTTTGCGTTTGTTGGGAATGAAACATCTTAATTATTTCAGTGTTTTAACTTTCTTTTTCTTTTGTGTGTTTTGTCGAATAACAGACGACGCTTTGGTATCATGCATCACACAAATAACATTATTTACACAACCACTCGATGAAAACAAACATTTCGCTCCCAAAAGTCAGCAAGAGCAAGAAGTAAAAGGTAGAAATAAATAGATAAATAAATAAATAAAGTAAAAAAAAAAACAGGCAAGAAAAGACATATCATATTCACTTAAAACGGATAAAGAAAAGAAAAAGAAAAGAAAAAAAATCCAAGCAAGAAAAGACAGAGGAAAAGATAAGAAAAGGAAAAGAGAGAAAGCTTTCCTCTCTCTCTCTCTCTCTCTCTGCAAGTGTATTTTGCTTTCTCTCTCTCTCTCTGCAAGTGTATTTTGTTGCACCGGTATCGTCTTTCTCGATGGCCTGTATTTTACACGCCCTGTACGTGCTTTGCAATCTAAATAATCGAAGCCAGTTTTTACGGGAGACTGTTTTAAACCGATGCACGCACGTACGGATGCACGCTTAGATATACACATCGATATGAATATGTTTGTGGGAGGGTATTTATAGTCTTATTGGTATATAGACACACATACGTAGAGTAAAAAACAAATGCATACACAGACATACACGTACAGACAGATACACACACACATACACGCACAGACAGATACACACATACACACATACACGCACAGACAGATACACACACACACACACATACATGCACAGACAGATACACACACACACACATACACGCACAGACACACACAAAACACATAAACATGCACGTACACACACACACACAAACAAACATGCACGCACACACACACACAAACACATAAAAATGCACGTACACACACACACACAAAAACATAAACATGCACGTACACACACACACACAAACACACAAAACCACATAAACACGCACACACACACAGCATATCCGACAAGAAGTCAGGTAAAGAAATTTCCTAACTAATGAGTTACACTGCACTTGTTATTAACTCCTGTTTTCTGTAATATATCGAAGCAAGCAAGAACCTTATCGAATCCTAATGAAACATAACTTTAGCACGGCAATTAAGCGGAACTTATTTACAAGAAATTGCTTCTAACTTTTAATATTTCGAAGTAAACAAGTCAACCGGGTTGGGAAGTTGTTTATAACGACCGTTGCCATGGTTACCGGTCCCTTGTTAAATCGGTGTTACATTTCCCTGTGGATCTTACTCGTGTTACCTTCCCTGGATATTTCACGTCATTGGCTCGGTGTCATGTGACACGAAATCGCGCAGTATATATTTCTCTTATTTCTGTTCACTGTATCTACCTGAACTTTGTTACGTTATGGTCTTTTATGAGAGTAAGTTATCATTCTTAGGCCTACAATTTACACCTCATTTCGTATATACTGTACACTTACGATGTAGTTGAGTTGAAAAAAATTAGCTTCTATCCTTTACTTGGTATGTCTTCTTTGTGATTTCATAAATTCAATGAAGTTGAGAGTTATACACGATAAATTGAACATACACTTTCTCTTAATAATTGCCTATAAATTCAATGAAGTTGAGAGTTATACACGATAAATTGAACATACACTTTCTCTTAATAATTGCCTATAAATTCAATGAAGTTGAGAGTGATACACGATAAATTGAACATACACTTTCTCTTAATAATTGCCTATAAATTAAATGAAGTTGAGAGTGATACACGATAAATTGAACATACACTTTCTCTTAATAATTGCCTATAAATTCAATGAAGTTGAGAGTTATACACGATAAATTGAACATACACTTTCTCTTAATAATTGCCTATAAATTCAATGAAGTTGAGAGTGATACACGATAAATTGACCAATCAAACATACACTTTCTCTTAATAATTGCTTTAGTATTCTCTTTATGACATCACGTAACTGTCTTTTCCCCGTTCATAACACTCTGTTAAAGTAAATTCCGATAGACTAAAAGCAACACACATTTTCTTGTATATATATTCAGGAAAAGATCCTCTTCTCGGTATCAATATGATCGCAATCTTCCTATCATATCAATATCTTGTTGATGGAGATCTCCCGAGGCAACAGAATAAAATATACTTTCTTTATAGATACAGTGTTGGGTTCCCTGTCGTTCCTGTTATATGCTGTTATATGCTCGTCTCCTCCAACCATTCCGTTCCTGTCGTTCCTGTTATATGTCTCCTCCATCCTTTCCGTTCCTGTTATATCTCGTCTCCCCCATTCCTGTTATATGCTGCTGCTCGTCTCCCCATTCCTGTTATTATCTCGTCTCCCCCATTCCTGTTATATGCTCGTCTCCCCCATTCCTGTTATATGCTCGTCTCCCCCATTCCTGCCGTTCCTGTTATATGCTCGTCTCCCCCATTCCTGCTGTTATATGCTCGTCTCCCCCATTCCTGTTATATGCTCGTCTCCCCCATTCCTGTTATATGCTCGTCTCCCCATTCCTGTTATTGCTCGTCTCCCCCATTCCTGTTATATGCTCGTCTCCCCCATTCCTGTTATATGCTCGTCTCCCCCATTCCTGTTATATGCTCGTCTCCCCCATTCCTGTTATATGCTCGTCTCCCCCATTCCTGTTATATGCTCGTCTCCCCCATTCCCCTCGTTCCTGTTATATCGTCCATCCCCATGTTATATGCTCGTCTCCCCCATTCCTGTTATATGTCTCCCCATTCCTGTTATATGCTCGTCTCCCCATTCCTGTTATATGCTTCGTCTCCCCCATTCCTGTTATATGCTCGTCTCCCCATTCCTGTTATATCCCCATTCCTGTCCCCCATTCCTGTATATGCTCGTCTCCCCCATTCCTGTTATATGCTCGTCTCCCCATTCCTGCCGTTCCTGTTATATGCTCGTCTCCCCCATTCCGTTATATGCTCGTCTTCCCCCATTCCTGTTATATGCTCGTCTCCCCCATTCCTGTTATATGCTCGTCTCCCCCATTCCTGTCGTTCCTGTTATATGCTCGTCTCCCCATTCCTGTTATATGCTCGTCCCCCATGTCCTGTTATATGCTCGTCTCCCCATTCCTGTTATATGCTCGTCTCCCCCATCCTGTTATATGCTCGTCTCCCCCATTCCTGTCGTTCCTGTTATATGCTCGTCTCCCCAGTTCCTGTTATATGCTCGTTATATGCTCGTCTCCCCCATTCCTGTTATATGCTCGTCTCCCCCATTCCTGTCGTTCCTGTTATATGCTCGTCTCCCCCATTCCGCTCGTCTCCCCCATTCCTGCGTTCCTGTTATATTGCTCGTCTCCCCCATTCCTGTTATATGCTCGTCTCCCCCATTCCTCGTCTCCCCCATTCCTGCTCGTCTCCATTCCTGTTATATGCTCGTCTCCCCCATTCCTGTTATATGCTCGTCTCCCCATCCTGACGTTCCTGTTATATGCTCGTCTCCCGCATTCCTGTTATATGCTCGTCTCCCCCATTCCTGTTATAGTACTCCCCATTCCTGTTATATGCTCGTCTCCCCCATTCCTGCCGTTCCTGTTATATGCTCGTCTCCCCCATTCCCTGTCGTTCCTGTATATGCTCGCTGTTATATGCTCGTCTCCCCCATTCCTGCCGTTCTGTTATATGCTCGTCTCCCCATTCTGCTCGTCTCCCCCATTCCTGTTATATGCTCGTCTCCCCCATTCCTGTTATGCTCGTCTCCCTCCTTCCTGCCGTTCCTGTTATATGCTCGTCTCCCCCATTCCTGTTATATGCTCGTCTCCCCCATTCCTGCCGTTCCTGTTATATGCTCGTTCCCCCATTCCTGTTATATGCTCGTCTCCCCCATTCCTGCCGTTCCTGTTATATGCTCGTCTCCCCATTCCTGCCGTTCCTGTTATATGCTCGTCTCCCCCTTCCTGCCGTTCCTGTTATATGCTCGTCTCCCTCATTCCTGCTCGTCTCCCCATTCCTGTTATACATATATGCTCGTCTCCCCATTCCTGTCATTCCTGTTTATATCGTCTCCCATTCTTGCCATTCCTGTTATATGCTTGTCTCCCCCATTCCTGCCGTTCCTGTTATATGCTCGTCTCCCCCATTCCCATTCCTGTTATATGCTCGTCTCCCCCATCCTGTTCCTGTTATATGCTCGTCTCCCCCATTCCTGTCATTCCTGTTATATGCTCGTCTCCCCCATTCCTGCATTCCTGTTATATGCTCGTCTCCCCCATTCCTGTCATTCCTGTTATATGCTCGTCTCCCCATTCCTGTTATATGCTCGTCTCCCTCACTCCTGCGTTCCTGTTATATGCTCGTCTCCCCCATTCCTGTCATTCCTGTTATACGCTCGTCTACATTCCTGTTATATGCTTGTCTCCCCCATTCCTGCCGTTCCTGTTATATGCTCGTCTCCCCCATTCCTGTCTTCCTGTTATAGCTCGTCTCCCCCATTCCCCATTCCTGTTATATGCTCGTCTCCCCATCCTGTTATATGCTCGTCTCCCCATTCCTGCCGTTCCTGTTATATGCTCGTCTCCCCCATTCCCTCTGTTATATGCTCGTCTCCCCCATTCCTGCCGTTCCTGTTATATGCTCGTCTCCCCCATTCCTGCCGTTCCTGTTATATGCTCGTCTCCCCCATTCCTGTTATATGCTCGTCTCCCCCATTCCTCGTTCCTGTTATATGCTCGTTCCCCATTCCTGTTATATGCTCGTCTCCCCCATTCCTGCCGTTCCTGTTATATGCTCGTCTCCCCCTCCTGTTATATGCTCGTCTCCCCCATTCCTGCCGTTCCTGTTATATGCTCGTCTCCCCCATTCCTGCCTTCCTGTTATATGCTCGTCTCCCCCATTCCTGCCGTTTCCTGTTATATGCTCGTCTCCCCCATTCCTGCCGTTCCTGTTATATGCTCGTCTCCCCCATTCCTGCCGTTCCTGTTATATGCTCGTCTCCCCCATTCCTTCCGTTCCTGTTATATGCTCGTCTCCCCCATTCCTGTCGTTCCTGTTATATTGCTCGTCTCCCCATGTTATATGCTCGTCTCCCCCATTCCTGTCGTTCCTGTTATATGCTCGTCTCCCCATTCCGCTCGTCTCCCCCATTCCTGTTATATGCTCGTCTCCCCCATTCCTGTTATATGCTCGTCTCCCCATTCTTTCCTGTTATATGCTCGTCTCCCCCATTCCTGTTATATGCTCGTCTCCCCCATTCCTGCCGTTCCTGTTATATGCTCGTCTCCCCCATTCCTGTTATATGCTCGCCTCCCCCATTCCAGTCGTTCCTGTTATATGCTCGTTCCTGTTATATGCTCGTCTCCCCATTCCTGTCGTTCCTGTTATATGGTCTCCTCCATTCCTGTCGTTCCTGTTATATGCTCGTCCCCATTCTGTCATTCCTGTTATATGCTCGTCTCCCCCATTCCTGTCGTTATATGCTCGTCTCCCCATTCCTGTTATATGCTCGTCTCCCCCATTCCTGTCCTGTTATATGCTCGTCTCCCCCATTCCGTTCCTGTTATATGCTCGTCTCCCCCATTCCTGTCGTTCCTGTTATATGCTCGTCTCCCCCATTCCTGCCGTTCCTGTTATATGCTCGTCTCCCCCATTCCTGTTATATGCTCGTCTCCCCCATTCCTGTCGTTCCTGTTATATGCTCGTCTCCCCATTCCTATGCTCGTCGTTCCTGTTATATGCTCGTCTCCCCCATTCCTGTTATATGCTCGTTCCCCCATTCCTGCCGTTCCTGTTATATGCTCGTCTCCCCCATATGCTCGTCTCCCCATTCCTGCCGTTCCTGTTATGTGCTCGTCTTCCCCCATTCCTGTTGTGCTCGTCCCCATTCCTGTCGTTCCTGTTATATGCCCGTCTCCCATTCCTGTTGTATGCTTCCTCCCCCATTCCTCGTTCCTGTTATATGCTCGTCTCCCCCATTCCTGCGTTCCTGTTATATGCTCGTCTCCCCATTCCTGTCGTTCCTGTTATATGCTCGTCTCCCCATTCCTGCCGTTCCTGGCTCGTCTCCCCCATTCCTGTTATATGCTCGTCTCCCCATTCCTGCATTCCTGTTATATGCTCGTCTCCCCCATTCCTGTCGTTCCTGTTATATGCTCGTCTCCCCCATTCCTGTGCTCGTCTCCCCCATTCCTGTTATATGCTCGTCTCCCCATTCCTGCCGTTCCTGTTATATGCTCGTCTCCCCATTCCTGCCGTTCCTGTTATATGCTCGTCTCCCCATTCCTGCCGTTCCTGTTATATGCTCGTCTCCCCATTCCTGTTATATGCTCGTTCCTGTTATATGCTCGTCTCCCCCATTCCTGTTATATCCCATTCCTTCCGTTCCTGTTATATGCTCGTCCCCCCATTCCTTCCGTTCCTGTTATATGCTCGTCTCCCCCATTCCTCCGTTCCTGTTATATGCTCGT